GAGGAGTGGCTGGTGGATTTGAACTGCCAGCCTTTTGGTTAGCAGACAAGTGCCTTAGCCACTATGCTACCAGAGCTCTGTGTATTTCACTGTACATAAATTATTTCAATAAAATGCATTTAAAAAAAAAAGAAATCAGATGACATATTACACTGGGCAAATCTGCTGCAAAAGACCTCTCTAAAGTGTTGAAGAGCAAAGATTCACTTTGAAGACTAAGGTGTGACTAACCCAAGCCATAGTATTTTCAGTCGTCTCACATGCATGTGAAAGCTGAACAATGAATAAGGAAGACCAAAGAAAAACTGATGTCTTTGAACTGTGGTGTTGGCAAAGAATATTGAAAACACCATGAACTGCCAGAAGAACAAACAAATCTATCCTGGAAGAAGTGCAGCCAGAATGCTCCTTAGAAGCGAAAATGGCTAGATTTCATCTCCCCTACTTTAGTCATGTGATCAGAAGGGACCAGTCCCTGGAAAAGGACATCATGCTTGGTAAAGTAGAAGGTCAGTGAAAAAGAAGAAGACCCTCAATGAGATGGATTGACCCAGTGGTTATAACGAAGGGCTCAAGCATAGTAAGAACTGTGAGGATGGTACAGGACAGGGCAGTGTTTCATTCTGTTGTAGACAGTGTTGCTATGAGTCAGAATTGACTAACAGCACCTAACAACAACCACAAAAGAGCTTTGTTAACAGTTGCCAGAGCACAGTAGAGGCCCAGCCAAGAGGCCAAGGGCCAAAGAAAGGTGTGCTTATGGGCACAGCCGAGGGGAGGCCGTCCTAACTGAAGAAACGTATTCTGAGTGTTCCTGAACCTGAATTGTAATCTGTTACTTCCCTAATAAACCCCATAATAGGGCGTATTGTCTATGAGTTCTGTGTGGCCATTGCAACGAATTATCAAACCCAGCAGAGAGGTAGAGAGTGCGATGGGAGGGACGGTTGGTGTAAGAATTGGTAGAAAGGTTGGAGGTGGCAGCATGTCTGACCTCCCTCTCATAGGAATCAGCCTTGGGCTGTTAATGTTCTGGATCTTCCTCACCCCTTGTGAAGTTACAGGAGGTCATATGACCCTTTTTGCAATTACACTTCATAGAGAAATACGTATTATGCCAATAATTCATCCTTAAATTGTTCAGGAAAATATATATATACAAATGTGTATATATATATATATACAAAAGTGATAAGGCAAATATGGTAAAAAGTTAATAATTGGGATATCTGGGTAAACAAAATCTTTGCACTGTTCTCACAACTCTTATTAAAGTTTGAAATTAAAAGGCTCAGGAGCTCACTGGAAAGGAATCCCAGTGGCCAGAAAGAGGTCGGTCTTCTTACCTCTGAAGAAAAAACCGCCACAGCCTGAGAAACACGTCAAGTACAAAACCCAAGTACATGATGTGACTCCAAAAAAAAAAAAAATCAATCATTGTTGGAGGTTGCTAGGCCACAATTCATTATTGTGGGGAAAAAAAAAAAAGAGTAAGAACCAAACATCTATCCTGACTTTCTGCATGAAGTGTATTTCAGGGTAGCAAACGCTTTTCTCTTGTTTAGAAAAAGAAGTCACAGCTAGGAAAGATGGGAGGAACAACAACTGGACGTTCTGTTCCCAAGCCCTAATGGAATAACAAGCGTGGGCAGTGGACCCTCAGTGGACTCTTGGTGAAGGACGTGTAAAGCACGTGTCAGGTGATGGCCCGAACTCAGCAGGATGGCTGGCCACTGAGGCCTCTGCAGGTGATCCTGCGGCCAGTCAACACAGAGACTCCAGAAATAGAGTGATGGGGACAGGAATCCTGGCCCAAACACACCAACTGCAGCAAGGCCTGCAGGGAGAGTGAGCATGGAGCAAACAGTGGCTGATGCCAAGGACTGGTTGCTCATTTAGGGAAGTGATGGTAGTTCTGAGGTTAAGAAAAGCCCTTATATGTTAGTGATATATAATTATGGGCCACTTGGTAAGATTGCTAGGATTTGCCTGAAAATTCCAAATTACATTAAGGAAAAAAGCACTAGCTTCTCAAATTTAATCTACAGAGAAAAATAAAGAGCAGATACATTCCTTAGCCTAAAACTACCCCATGGCTCCACATATTACTAAAATAAAGCAAGTTCTCACTGTGCTGGACTTCGTGGCCCCAGAGCCGGCTGGGGCTGCCGTCAGGGCTAGACTCGGAAGCAGAGCTGCAGGGATGCAGCCTTAGACTGGCAGAGGTGGGTGCAGGCAACGTCTGTGTGAGCGAGAGTTGTGGGGTGTTTTGACTTTCAAACCACTGAAAAAAGCACTTTTTCTCAAAATAATTATAATTGCTTCAGAAGTTCTTATAAAATGACAGGGTCCAAGCTCTTGACATCCCAACAGTGAACACTTAGAGATGCAGCCTTTCAGGCACCATCTGCCCTTTAGGAAGGTAATTAAGGACCAAGTCTTATTTCTGGGAAGTGACACGCCCACACAGACCATATTGACTCTGTACCATTCAGTAAGGCTGTGGGCCATGTCCGGAAGTAGCCACATGTTTTGACATGGCTATGCCCCAAGGGCCAGGTGCCTATAGTCTTCAGGGCTATGCTGTCTTGTACCAGAGTGTCAAAGACCTGCAAGGCAGGTGCCAAGAGATGCTTCCACCCCAACCCCACTCACACTCAGGAGACTGTAACAGTGCCTGGGTGAAGCTGTCACCACCACAGCTATGATGAGAAAGAAAAAACCACTTCCAGGTACCTCTCCCCATCCCTGGCTCAAGACCCTTAGCCCCAGGCCCTCCTCTAGGAGAGGCAGACGATGAGAAGCAAGGCAGACAAGGACCCATGGGACAGGTGAGAGGGCATCATGGTCCACTTCTCTCAGTTCCACTCACAAGTCCCCAGGACCATGCAATACCTGAGCTCACTGTCTGCTCCCTCTACCCACCTACCTTAGCATGTTTCGTGCATGCAGCGCTAGACTTCCAGGGAGATTCTGCCTCCACGCCCTGCTCAGGACTCCGTTCAGCATAGGCCTGTGAGAAACCAATCAGCACAAGGTCAAGGGGATGAGTGCTTCTACTTGAAATAATAGCTGCCAGAGCACAGGGTGCTGTGCTGGGCACTGTGCCAAGCAGAGCTGGACTCGGGGGGTGGGTGCAACATCTCATTTACTTCTCCCAATGGCTCTCCAGGACAGTTGCTCTGATTAGCCACCCAGCCCAAGGTCACCTAGCTAATGAAAGGCAGGTCCAACATGCAGCCCAGGTCTGCCCCTGTGTTACATAGCCGCTGTCCAGAAAGGGTACCAAAGGGCCAGTACTGAGATCTGTGAGCCTCTGGGATCCACAAGCCCATCCAAAGTAACAACGATTACCCTGCAGAACCCTTCTCAAGAAGCCAATAGAAAAGGAGACACACATTCTCTAGGCGCCCCCCAAACCTGTGCCCTGCCCCCAGCTTTTATGTGAAACCTCAGAGCCTTTGCCTTTCATGCAGAGAACAACAGCATTAACTGGAGAGTGTAAAATGCTAGAAAATTCCAGTCCATTAGCCCAACTGAGATGTAAGAAAAGGCTCCTTTACCCATTTAGTACAGATCACTAAGAGGAGGTGCCTGATCTGTCCTGACTCCCACTACCTGGGCTGTGTGCACAGAAGGCACCCAATGAGCTCTCACTGAACAAGTGGAACCAACGATAGGTGAGGCCAACCACAGCTACCCCAGGCACTTCTGGGAAGAAAATAGCAAGCAATACAAAGGGTCTCAGTGTCCCACCCTTGCTTGGCCAGCTGGAACTCGTCCCAGGGCACTTGGTGACAAGCCCCCTGACATGTGGGAGAAGAGTAACCCCACCTGTGTCATAGCCGGCTGGCCAACAGAGAAAGTCTGGTACTTGAAGGGGATGTGGGCAATCTCCTTGGGGCGCAGGTACAGCTGAGGGGCCAGGCTGCCACCACGCAGATGGAACATGTCCTCTTCCACTGGCGTGAGCAGGCCAGCTGCATCTTTAAAGTGCCGCCACTCCCTGCTGTCCAGGATGATGCTGGAGGGAGGGGGGAGACTGAGCTTGAGGCATAAATACTCTTCCCGAGCCAGTCCCACGCAAGGAGATAATACCCTACTCACCAAGGCATGACCTCAGAGCAGTGAAAACCAGGTGCCATCAAGTCCCGACTCACAGCGACCCCATGGGGGTCAGAGTACAACTGTGCTCTGTAGGGTTTTCAATGGATGATTTTTTTGGAAGTAGATCACCAGGCCTTTCTTCCAAGGTACCTTTGAGTAGACTTGAACTGCCAACCTTTCCGTTAGCAGCCAGGTATGTTAACTGTTTATACCACCCAGGGACTAGAGCAGTAATAGAAAGCCTAAATCAGGCTGGCCTAAGAGATACGGGAACCAGCTCAGCCAGAAATTCAGTCAGCCCATAGCACAAAGCCACCTCCACCGGAGTGAGGAAGAGTGGCTCATGCCCACCTGAGTTCGGGACTGTCGATCTCAATGGTCACCGTGTGCTGCATGTTGTGAGGGTTCTTAAGAGCGAACTCAAAGAACTCAGCAGTGCCCAGCGAGGCATAGAGTGTGTGCTGGGTGGTGATGGCCAGGCTCAGCAGGTTGGAAATGCCTTCAGCCTTTGTGCGCTCACGGTAGGCCTCTATGACCTGCAGGTCCCGTGAGTGCTGTGCGCGGATACTCTGCTGAGCCTGTGGGGCAGGGGCAGACAAAGGGCTGACCAAGGGCAAGATCGTGGGTGCTATGGGAACCACACCTCCCATTTTCCACCATGTTGTTTGGGGGACTAGTCTAACTAACTCTGGGGGCAGGTCCCACTGGTGGAGCAGCCTCTTGCCCAGGCCTCTCCCCTGCTCATTTCCTTCCATTGGTGTCCTCTCTGTGTGTGGTCCACCCCACGGGAAGGGAGTGCTCCATCTGGCTGCCCAGCCCCCTGGCACACAGCCCTGCCCAACATGCGGCTCTGGTCTGCACAAGGCCCTTCCTCACACTGTGACCCTCACCAGCATACTGCTCCTCCGGCCGCCAAGCTCTCCTCCAGACTCCCGAAGGCGCACAGACCTCATCCTCTCCAGCTTGCGCCTGCGGACAGCATCTGCCTCGTGGCCAGAACTCCGGGGGTTCTGACCCCCTGACTGCATGTGGGTGAACAACATGGCAGCTAGCTCACTGTCTATGTTAGCCAGCTTCTGAGCCTGGACCACACGTTTCCCTGCTGAAAGGTACAAAGAAAGAGTCCTTCTTGCAGGTCAGAACTGGGTTGTTCTCAGATGCTGGTCAAGAGGCAACTGTCCACGCTGACCTCCACGGGCCCCTCCCTACCAGCCTCTGACATAAGAGCCCTTCAGTCCGGAACTTCAGACACATTCATTAATTCACCACTGGGTGACTTTCTAGGAAAAGAACTCAGATCTCAAGGATCTCATGCTTTTAGGAGTTTCACAGGACCCGCCTGACACCATTACCCAGGGCTACTTCTCTTCGTCAACATGCCCAGTTCCTCCAGGGACAGGGGAGGCATCAATGCACCCATACCCAACGCACCCCAGAATCCTATCCATGCCCTCAAACACCCCCATGTGGGGTATCAAGAGCCCTAAATCCTTGTCAGGAATTGAAGGACCCAAGAGCTATGCCCCCGGCCCATGGTCAGGCCTGATAGAAACAAGCTGGGCCTGGCCCTAGCACTCACTTTGGCCTCTGTGCCTATGGCCCTGCACTCCGGCCCCCAGGGCAACTCCACTGAACCCTGGACATACAAAAAAGCCTTTTATGACATTAAAAGGGGCCTGGTACCAGCAGGCCAAAGGCCAGCCATCCCAGGACACTGCTGCATTTTCTTCCTTGAGACCAGCATGGGACTTATGGCGCCAGTGGCACTGTGCTCAGACAAAGCCACATGCCACAGATGCCACGTCACAGCTGACACATTAGGCCCCAGGATAATCACTTACCCTAGCACATGCAGGAGGGTGTAGGATGCCCAACCTAGGTTTGGGTCTTTCCTGGCCCTTAGGTACCAAATCCCAGTATGGGTCCGGCTCTGGGTCTGACGTTCTCTCATCTGCACCCACAGCCATGTGCTGATGCATCTTTGACCCCTCACTCACCTACCTCTTCCTCAGTTACACTTGAACAAGTGCTATTTCCAGGCTCCCCACCACTACTGTTTTAAAGCTCTTTAACTGCTTTGCTGATGCAACGAATGGGTGAGGCATCTTAAATGGCTGCCCCAGTAAGCATCTTTCCTGTCTCTGGGGCATGGGGTAGTCTAGCATGGAGTCGTCTTGCTGCCTCAGCTGGCAGTCTTGCAGTCAACCCTTCTTGTGCTCTCCTAGTTCCAGGAAACAAGAAAAAATTCTGGATGACAGGATGGGGCTGAACTCACCAAGAGCAGGGAGCCCTAAGCTCTTTCCATCTCACATATTCCTTTAGTCCAGAACCTCACCCAGTGGGTGAGGACTCAGGCTTTGTAACACAGCACCTCCACCTCTGGTTTTGGTCAAAGGAGGGGCCAGAGGGTCAGCCTGGGACTCTAAGCAAATGCTCATGGTTCTGGCTCCCTGTGCTGCCGCCCTGACCTGCTGGGCCCCACAGCTGTGGATTTTACAAATAATCTCTTCTTCTTGGAGTGCTGGGCCACCCCCGACTCCCTCCACCCTGCGGAGAGATATTCCATTCTCTGAGTGGTCAGAGGCCTTGCTCTGGTCAACTGAGACAGAGACACGCTGACCCCAAAGAAGGAAATCCAGGTTCTAGTCCAAGTTCACCACCTCCAACCAGGTAACTGAGCAGGTCAGCTGGCCTCTCTCTGCCTCAGTTTCTTCAGTATTAACATGAGGATGCCGGGCCAGGACAGATTGTGAACCCCCTGGAGAACCTGAACATACAGAGCCCTCCTCCCCAGGAAAATGTGCAAGGGCCTTCAAAGTTCTGCCTGGGGCTTCAAGGGATCCTCAAGTCCTTCTAAGGATACCACATGCCTGGTCACAAGCCCAGAGACAAAAATGGTCCCCAAGGCCCTTCCAGTTCTGCCTCTCTCTCCTGGAGCACACATTAAATATAGCAAAACTGGTGGCCCAACGACACAAGGAAGCTCATGGCAGCTTTGGATTCATACAAGATGATCTGCAGCATTTGGGGAAATGCTATTTAAAGGGCACTTCCCACTTTCAATGAAATGACAAGCATTTCATATTCAAGACTGTGGGGTCATTTTAAGGGGACGGAAACACTCTAGAGCATCCCTGCTGTGGAGAATATGTTCACCAAACCAAGTTCTTCATTTCCCAGACTTAATAATTGCTTTAGTCCTCCTCCTCCCAACATAGGGAGTCTCAAATTAGATTTTAAAAATCAGTCGATGTTTTTCCTGACCTTTCTTCATTTCTTCTTCCCCAGTAGAGGAGCAGCTAACCAAAAACAAATGCCACTTGGAGGATGACAACCTCCCTGTGAAAGCCATGAAGCCATGTTTCCACAGACCCCAGCTAGAGTACTGGGTTTGATCAGTGGGGTGAGTACACATGATCAGCAGGCCAGCAGAAACACTGAGGCAAGGCCCTGGGCCTGGGGCTAGGCGGCCCCATTCTCATCAGAGCTAGAGTGAGGCTGACCCACCCCAACACACACACACCACCTCCTCTCCTCAGCCACCTGCCTGCTCTCCTCTTTCCCACTCAGCTCCCCACTCACGTCTCACGGCCCCCCTTGTAAGGAGACTGCCTCCCGAGAAGCCGCTGGTCCCGTCGTTGGAGATGACCCGGGACCTAGATGGTGGCAATGGGCTGGAATCTTTCATGCTCTCCTCACACGAGTGACCTAAAACACAGCCCAGCATAAACTATTAATACCCCAGGAGAGTCTGATGAAATTAAACTTATCAAGAGAATTTCCCACAGGGGCTCTAGCTCCCAAATGTCCCAGCTGTGCCCTGTGACACACCCGCATCCGTTATCCCACTCTAGTCTGCATTTGTTTGTAACTGAGAGGTGACACGTGGGGCTTATTTTCCTTGGAATGCTTCCATGCGAGCTTTCAGACTCTTGCTTCCTCAGCAGGAGCCCCACTTCCCTGGAATAGATTAGGCCACGTGACACTCAGCACACTCACATCGAGTCTTATTTCCTGCTCGCTGGATCAACCCCGCAGCCTCACGACATGTAATGTTTCCCTCTGACGACCGTATTGTTAGGACAAGGCCTTCATGTGCTTCTATAGGCAAGTGGCTGACTCCAGATACACTGGACAGTAAAAGATGCTCAAGAAATGGATCTTCGCTGGAGCTATTTTCATAAGAGAGACCTTTGAAGAGACGCGATGCTGCTTCACCGCGGATGAATTTGGGGCTGACACGTTTTCCTCAGGCACAGCTGCCAGCAGTGCACCTGCGCACTCAGCCAGAGGACCAGAGCCGAGGGGATGGGCAAGCGAGGGCCCCAGGCAGGCTTCCCCTGCCTCCAAGGAGCCCCTCCCTCTGGACTCACCACTTCTTAGTGTGACTGCACTTCCATCTGGGGTGAGGCAGAGAAGAGCTCACGGAGGCATATTCATTAGGAATGAATGCAGAAGTCCCAAACACAGCGTTCTGCTTACCTAGTGCCTCTGATGAGAATAGACCACAAATGGGATGGCTTGAACAAATAGGAGTTTATTCTCTGACAGTTTAGAGGCTTTAAGTTTGAGTTCAAAGTGCCAGGCTCTAGAGGGTAAATGAAAGCCTCTCAACCTTGGGCTCCAGCTCTGCCTCCTACTCCTGGCCCACTGAAGCTGGAGGCTTTTCTTTACTCAGACAGCTGCTGGCTGCTGAGGCTGACAAGCCCAAGGTTGATAAGTAAAAAGGCACAGCCCTAATGTCACCAAACAACATGGCAGGCCACTAATTGAAGTCCCAAGATTGGCAGAGGATGGCAGGCTGTTGAACAATGACTTGGCTATATGCAGGGTCCAAGCGTGCCAAAAGTCTAGAGACCATTCCCAAAGCTATTTCTTATACACAGGAAGCAGACCACATCCTTAAAGCAGCTACTCAGCTGCTCACAGTAGATTCCACCATGGAGCTGATGACTAGTCTCATCATGGGGAATATTACATCCAGCTGCCCAGCCTCAACCAGGCCCAGCCAAGCTGACACACAAACTTAACTACCACACACAGCATGAGAGCACTGTTCATGCCCCACTCCCAAAAAGATGGTGCTGAGTACTTACTTATGGGGTGGGGGCATCCTGGCAATCTTCCTGAGAGCTGACAGAAGCAGGAGCCCCTTTCCTGGGTTCCAGTTCAGCCCCTCCGGCTCCCTTCCCCTCCCCCTTCCCTCCCCTCCCCCTTTCCCTCTTCCCTTAGAGAGGAGGGAGTGACTCTCTGCTCAGCTCAGCTCAGCACCTTCTCTTCCTCTTCAGGTCCACCTGCCTGCCCTTGGCCACATAGGAAACTCTGTGTGGCAGGCTCAATGAGTGCTGGGGAGGCTGCGTTTTCAAGGAGAAGCTTGGTACTGGGCACACAGCTCTAGCCAGTGTCCCAACAGTGGCATCTCCTCTCCCTCCTGTTCTCTGTGGAACTCTGGGTCAGTTTTGAAACATGTCAGGGTGGCAGCACTGACGCCTTCGCTCCCCTGCCACGTGCCTCAGATGCCTACACACGCTTCCAGTGTCGGGGCCGCAGGAAATGGTACCTACGTGCCATTTCCCCCTCTCCCAGCTCTGCTGCCCCCACCCCCACTGTGCTGGCTTCTGGGATAGAGAAGAGCTGTCCTCAGCTTTGTCACTGCTGCTTCCTCCATAAGAACCACCAGGAATCCTCTGCTGCACTAATCACCCTCTCTCCTCTGCTTTTATGCTCTGTTCTGGGGCTTCCCATCCTGCCCTTCCAAGTAGACCATAAAGCTTTATAATTAGGCCAAAACACATTTTCTCACCTCTGTGAGGCCATTTGGCCCTGACAGAAGTTCATCATCAAAGGGCTGTGATCCTATCTCAAAGACACCAACCCTGGGTGGCAGCTCCCCTTGCACAAACAGCTGTCTACCTCTCAAGGCCTGTTTATCCTCTAAGTCAAAGAAGAACAGGTGCTGGAGCATGATGGGAATGTGGACTTGCCTGTTCATCAGCCCACTCATCCATCTCTCCACCGCCAGGTGAGTCCCAGCAAACATTACAAGGAGGAGGAAACAGCAGCCTCAAGAGAGCCTCAGATGTGCAAGGGGCAGCAGGGGCACAAGCCAGGTATCACAGGGACAGAGGGCCAGGTGGGGCAGGGACAGAAGGCACTGACCCTCACAGCCTTCCCCCTGGACCCACAATCCCAGGCAGTTCAGGTGCTTTGATCTCTGTGCTGCTCCTTCCCACAGAAATCCACAGCAGGGTGGTGGCTCGGGCCAGCAAGTGTTGGTGAGCTTTGTCCCAACCAACACCAAGAAGGAGTGAGCCACCCAGTCACCTGGAAGGTGTTGCCAACATAGGGCCCCCGTGTGCGCCCTCAGGCAGCAATGGGGTTCATTCCACCCTGAGGAAGACCTGGGGTCCTTCCATTGCTTTCTTGGCCACCCTTACCCGATAAGGTCAGACAGCTCAGGGCCGGTGGGCAGCATTGCTGGAGCTCTGACCCTCCAGGGCACTCACAGTCATCATTCTCAGCGTGTGTGTGGCCAGCCCATCATGAGCTCACGACATGAACAGAAGAAGGGCACTGAGGGCTGAATCATGACCACCTCTGACCGGAGTTACACAGAACGCACTGATTTCTTATATGATAGCAATGCCCTGGGTTGACATGTGGAGCATGTACGTGCTCACACAGGACAGTACAGGGGGAGGAGGGCCTGCACATTGCCAGGCACTGTCTACAATCATGAACTGGTACAGGATCCCCTCCCACTCACTGCACAGAAGTTACACCTGGACTCCCCTATGCTGCAGGAGTGGGAATGGTTTCAAGCAGGCTCAGTTCCAATGACAACCCTGCTGCTGCCCACACTCTCTGCAGGAGCCTGCCAAGTGTCTGTCCAAGTCCTTCAGCACACGGTTCTCCATGTCATGTGTGGTTTGCCAATGTGCATACCCTGAGAATGTGAACCCCAAGACCCTGGAACAGCACCTGACGTGGCAGCCAGGGCAGCCCCTGCATCCTTGGGACAGTCTCTCCAGGGTACTGCAGAAGATAAGTGACAACCGTTGCCCTGTTTCACAACCACGGTCCTGGGATAACAGAAAATAACATGGTCCCAGCAATCTCTATGCAACAAGAGACAACAGACAGACACTTGCAAAGTGGCAGTTTAGAAACTCAAAGATGCTGAACAAGATGAGAACCCACCCATCCACGGCCCCCACCCTCTGTGAAGATCAGTAGGGTAGCTGGTAGGGAGCTGGCCATCATTGTAGTGATGCTGTCTGCAGCACGCTTCCATTTTGGTCTCAAATGTGACCTCCAGGTAAAGGCATGGGAATGCTGTCCAGGCCGAGGCCGGGAGCCCAGGATACAGCCCTGGCTTTGATTCCTTCTCTGCCATCCTGGAGACTTACACAGTCATCATCCAATTTGCTGGTGAGCTCTTGCTGCTCAATGCATAATGACTGATTTTATAAAGAAATAAAGGCCACGACACTTCTTTCTTCCCTCCAAAAATGCTTAGTTTACCAAGGAAATCAAAGCGCACTGCACTGACATGAAGTGTGCTGCGTCCGGCGTCTGTCCTTGGCTAATCTCCTTCCGCAGGGCTGCAGCATAGCCTCTCCAGCTGGGTATCACCAACTCTCTTCCCCAAGAGCTTATCTCTCTCTTGCAGGCAAAGTATGAAAATGACAATTTAAGATAGCATATAATGGAGCTAATCTTTCTTCTGCAGATAAGATTTCAGAACCTGGAGTCACTGCACATTTGTGGGCTGCTGAATTAAATATAAAAATACCCAGCACAGTCTAGGAAGCAGAATGCCCCTTGCAACGCCAGGCCCGCCGCCATCAGTGCTTTTGAATAATGTCCACTGCTCACATGTGGCTCATTCATTTCTCCAGGACCTAATTGAGTTTTGCTGTTTCTGTATTGTCTACCTTCAAAGCTGGCTCAGATTTTACATCTGTAAACAAGCAGACAGACACCCAGACCTAACGAGCTGTGTGCTCACGGCTCTTGGGCTACGGCTGCGCCACGGGCCTCGTTGATCAGCACAGGCAGAGGGGGCCCATGGGGCTTGAGGGTTTAGAATCAGGCTGGGTTTTATAGAATGGAAAATTCCCTAATAAAACGACAGAGCAGTCTGAGTCCCATCCAGACACAGCTCCAGAAACCTCAAGCAGCTTGGTTTTGTTGTACTTTCAGTGTTGCCAAGAAAAACCCCAATCTTTCCAGAGTCCCCCAAGGGAGGTCCAGTAGTTTGTTATTGGCCCCACAGGGTCCCTGTTGATCCCATGGCCTCAGGCTGCAGAGCAGGCAAGCCTGGCCCTACATCCTTTGGCCTACTGGCCTCATCACCAGCCCCTGTCATGTTGTGGGACTTGGTCAGAGCCTCTGGGACATCCCAGGCAGGCCCATCCTGAGCCATATGCAGTCTGCCCTGCCTGCCCTCCACACCCAGGCCATGGGATGACAAAAGTCAGGGCTCAGCATTGGATGAGCAGCCAAACTTGGTATGCGTTTTCTTGGCTCTCTTGTTCCCAAGTATGCAAAATATTTAGGAGCACTTCTCTTCTCTCTCCATTTCAATGAGTGGTGCTGTGGGCTGGTACTCCAAATGAACATCTCCCTTGGAACCTGTTCGCTTTGTTTAGGGCTATCACAGACAGGCACTGTGAAAAGCACCAAGAAACAAAGCATGAGTAAGACCAAGTCCACTACTGCTTTTAAATCCTAAATAAGCTAGGAACCCCAACACTCAGTGCCCAATCAGACTCTCAGAGGCCAAGGTCAGGCTCTCAGGGGCCAAGGTCAGACTCAGTGACTGAGGTCAAGCTCTGGGAAACCAAGGTCAGACTCTAAGGGGTCAGAGTCAGACTCTCAGAGGCCAAGGTCAGACTCCTAGGAGCTGAAGTCAAACTCTTAGCAGCCAAAGTCAGACTCCCAGGAGCCAGGCTAACAGGAATCCCACTAAATTCCTACTAAGTGTATGAGAACATGCTCAGGAAGTGGCTACTCCTGAGGAAGTTGACACTCTGGCAGGAGAGATGAGACGTCACCCAGGAAACAATACAGGACCAGAAGGATGCTAGGCTCTTACCTATATTGGCCAAGGTCAGGTGCAGCCGGCCCTTCATCACTGTGTGGACGCCAATGGGCTTGACACTGCCAAACTGGGTCATGTCTCCACTGACCACCACCATGTCCTGTTCATATTCCGTTGCCACCACCTCAAGTTCATGCAAGACCTGGACAGCCGGCCGCCCTTGGCGGAGGAGATGCTGTAAAAAACATGTGTTCAGAAGCCAGAGCTAGGCTCTGGCCCATGTCCAGGTGCCACTGTAGTTGTGACAAAGCTCCCCACCCACAAAGAAGGCCACTGAGGATGATAGGACAGTGTGGGAAAGGACAAGAACCCAAAAAGCACATAAATTTGTACATCAGGCAAAAGCCTCACTACTTTTAAGAATATGAGCCCCTTCCCTTTGCAAACAGGAACCAGACAAGGATGCCCTCTATCACCACTTCTATTCAACATTGTACTGGAAGTCCTACCCAGGGCAATAAGGCAAGAAAGGGAAATCAAAGGCATCCAAATTGGTAAGGAAGAAGTCAAACTATCCCTATTTGCCAATGATATGATCCTATACCTAGAAAACCCAAGAGACTCAGTCAAAAATCTACTGGAACTAATTGAGAGATTTAGCATCGTGGCAGGATACAAGATCAACACCCAAAAATCAGTGGTTTCCTCTACACCAGCAAAGAGATTGCTGAGAAAGAAATAAGGAAATCAATACCATTTATAACAGCTACCAAAAAAATAAAATACTTGGGAATAAATTTTACCAGGGACACAAAAGAAAACTATAAAAAACTACTGCAAGAAACCATAAGAGATTTACATAAATGGAAGAATATCCCATGCTCGTGGATAGGAAGATTGAACATTGTGAAAATGTCAGTTCTACCCAAAGCAATCTATACACTCGATACAATCCCACTCCAGATCCCATCAACATTCATTGTTGTTGTTGTTATGTGCCATCGAGTCGGGCTCGACTCATAGCGACCCCTTCTTGGGTTTCCGAGGCAGTATCACTACAGAAGTAGATTGCCCCATCTTCCTTCCGAGGAGTGGCTGGTGGGTTTGA